TACTTTCCGCGGATGATAGGCATGTAGCATGCTCTAAAACCGTCTTAAACGTAATAAAATCACATACGGTTGTCTGTACTATGGATGAGAAAATTATTTGTTTCTAGGACATAATGTACCTTAAATGTCTGTAAAGTATTGACTAGTGATAGGACAAGATATATACTTTAAGAACGTGTTAAATATTAACGTTACAAGTTGAGCGTACATTAATAACCTTTTTTATTGATAGGCAACTACAATGCTGTCAAATGAATTCAAACGAATACATCAAACGTTTCCTAATCACTAAAGTCATGCTTGGGTATGTTTGACGGATATATTTATAAATATATAATATGCTTTTAATTCTTGCATTGCGGATTTCAGAACGAAATGAACTAATTTTTTTTACCCGAGAATCTTGTTAGAGCGACATATGTCTTATCGATAGTTTAGGTTTTAAAACAACTTTAGAAATGAATTGTCTTTTCGAATATGTATTTGTTTTACTCATTCAAACACTTATCGCAGTTACTTTCAAAAGTGATGGAGTCACAATTAATTACCATATTAACTTTACACTGCAATGCCAAACGGATGTGCATCGATTCAAAATTTTGTACAGACTTCCGATTAACGAATGTATACGCGAATGTGGACTAAGAAATCATTGCGCGGCGGTCAATTTTTGGCGACACAATGGTAAATGTGAACTGCTCTTGTCCGGAGATGAAGGAATATTAAGTAGGAAGGACTGTATTCACGTGCTTAAAGGAGATATCAATGTTGAAGAGGTAATTTTGTATGTCTGGGGGTAATATTAAAGGCATAACTTCTACATACTGTAAACTTATTTCTTAACAAATAGGATAAACAGTTTGTTTTTAAACTCATTTGAGGGTCTTATAAGCCAGTTATTCTTTCTCCTTGCACGATTTTATTAATTTCAATATGATAAATTTGCTTTATACTTTTGAAACTTTATATTCTATGAAATGTTAAGATATTATATTTATATGATTTAATATATTGATTAATTTAAAGTATATTGGTTTACAATGAGCACATTCTCCATAAGATTAAAATCTATAAAATGTATCATTTCGAAAATTCTTATTATTTATTGCTTGGAACAAAAATGTTAATAAAATTAAAAGCGATTCAGTTTGATACTAAATACTGTCAACGTTATTATTATCTACATTACAGACCGTTGTATATGAACTTACTTTTTGAATAAGAAAATAAAATAAAATGGCCTTCTCAGCCGCCATAAACTTATGGACTTTCCGATACCATTATTTGATGAGCGCTTCACTTCATTTAATTTTTCAATTAAAGTGATATATTATTGTAAAAGCTTTATTCTTATAACAAAACTATACTTTATAAAAATCTGGCAAAAAGGAGCTCCTTCTGCAGTAATGTTAGTGTGGTTGTGTTTAACGGTGGTACTGACACATTATTGGTCATATTGCACTGAACACTGAAATAAGTACGCTTTAAACGAGTTGGTACAAGTGAGTTAACTCTGAGATGAAAGTTTACTTCCTTTAAGTAATCGAATTTTGGAACGGACTGTGGGCAAAAAGTTGTCTAACTGAATTATGTCTAACTTGATTCAAAAAAATTTATCTCGTACTTGTCTAAGATCGCAGCATTCGAGTAGGGAATGATTGACAATAAAAAAATTTGCAGGTGATACAAAATAGAGCATCTTCTCCTGTTAAAAGGTAAGAATGTGTAACTATGTGGTATGTCCAACTGTACATTTAAGAAGAACAATTTAATAAAGCAGAGATGTGAGATGGTGATTTATCCAAACACGGTACATCTTTGTCCCAATTTGATACCCATTTAGATGAAATAAGGTTTAAAATTTGGTAACGATAACTCTTTGAAGGATTTCTTGGCCAAAACATCTATTTTTTTTCATTTTCCTGTATTCCTACGTGGCTGGGTTGCAACATAATTCAACTGAACAAGTTTTTATCAGATATTATAAAAGGAGTTACATATTAATCATATAATTATTTGTCTTTCGACTATGACCTTTACTGTATAATTACACATGTAGAGAAGCTTAAAAAGTGCAATGTGTTAACCATTATGCTTTTGCATGATTTTGTATGAAAATGCTGGTTCATTGGTTGTCACTTTTTGCAGTATATATAGATACATTATCAGGAAGTCTTTTTTAAAGTCGTTAGCGCCTACTTTATGACCATCCTTTGAGCCGTCTGTGTAAAATTCGATTACAATGTTCATGTTCCTCATTGAATAAAAAATCTTTAAAATGTTGGAAGACGGGACAATTGGATGACTTTTTTTGATATTTAAAAACTAACCCGCCAGTGATATGTAATGTAAATCAATTGAACAGTATGTTATTCGACATTTTAAAGACAATAATCGTTGGTTTATTTAAAGGTTTTTGAAAACAATTTTTACCTTAAAACTAATGGTTTAATATTCTTTGGTTTGTTTAAAAAATGTCGCTATAATTTGTTTTACAATTTACATTTATAGCGGGAATATTACCATTTGATGGTACTGAAGAGCAAGTATTTTAGTCGTAGATAAAAGGAAGGTAATCCTGCTTCAGCACAAATACTTTCGTATGGCACTGATCGAAACGCGCCTAACGAACTCCAAACCGTTAACTATAGAATCATGATATAAGTTTTATTTAATTAGATTTCTATATAATTTTAATAAAGTTTGGGAATAATTTTAATGGTATGTCAGCACTTACTTTGGCAGCATCAAATATAAAACTATCACCATATCTCAGCACCTAATTTAGCAGTTTCAGATATATTATTATCACCATATCTCAGCACCTAATTTAGCAGTATCAGATATATTATTATCACCATATCTCAGCACCTAATTTAACAGTATCAGATATATTATTTTCACCATATCTAAGCACCTAATTTAGCAGTATCAGATATATTATTATCACCATATCTCAGAACCTACTTTACCAGTATCAGATATATATTTATCAACATATCTTAGCACCTGTGCCCTAAGAAATTTGTTTAATTTTAGACTCCATGTGACACTTGTAGCAGCGGCAAGACATGTGACACAGAAAGCGGCACTTGTATATATAAAGGTGAGTTACTCGGTAAATAATAATGAAAATAGTATAAAAAAGCTTTCCCGTAGTAAATGCCAATGGATGTGACAGATGGTGGCTATTCGTAAACACAATTTTTTCAATGAATTTTCTTTAAAGCTTCGTGCCTCGTGCCTCCATATGAGGAAAATATTACAAGAAAATGTATTTACAAAGTGTACGTATAAGAAAAGTAAAAATTTGTTGTTATTCGTTTAACAATATTTTACCTTTCAATACATTTTAAAATTGTCGTTAAACTAGCATTGATCTGAAAGCATGCCTCTTACAACGTTAGGTGACTTTCAAGTTTAAGAGGTGGAGGAAAACTTTAGGGGTCCCTTAATGCATTATTACACTAACAAAACAGGCATTTAAAAAGAAGCGCCGGCCTCCAGTATTATTGCTAACTGATTAAAGCTGAATAACTATCTTGCAATAAAATATCCAAATCACCCGGCGGGATGAGGCGTCACTGGTCCGAAGACATACACATTTCTAGTCTTGGTAATAATTTTGGTGGCTATACAATGTCAAAGTGACCTTACATTAAAAAAAAATCTTAATGAAGCGTATTATAATAACGTTATTCGTGAATGAACTTTGGAAATTAAAGAAAAATAATATGAAAAATTGATAGTAAACTAAGTAAAATCATAATTGCATGACGGAACGATTCATTTATAACAAATTGAATTTCGAATTTCAATTTTGAATTGGCAAGGGTCATATTTAAACAAAAAGAACTGGATAATAACAAATATATATTATTCCTAAAAGATGATAAATCATTTACAAAAAAGCTCGCAATGATAATTACTTTTTACGAATGTAATTAGAAGATTAGTTTTACTCTACTTAAGAGACTGTCGTCGGTTTACCGCTTAATTATACGGCATGTCACGAAATAAACCTTGAAGTAGAGTAATCTAAAATATTCATTAAAATATTGACAATTTAACCATTGAATTGGAGAGAACACTATCGGAACGTTGAATTGAATTGCTCTGAGTCGGTTCAGTTATGTAGTTTAACAAAGGTTGGTTGCATTCTTTTCAAATTTTGCAAAGATAAATACTCCGGAGTTCCTTCTCCTTATACTACTTTCAGTGGTTACCAGACTAAATGATAAATACCAACGCACTTTAATTTTGTAAAACAATTTTGCTCACAATATAATTTGACAAATACATTAATTGATCTTCATTTCCATGTGAAGTTGATAGCGATAGTAAAATAAAAGTATTAATATATACATTACGTTTAAATTGTGAAATGTTTGCTCTGTTACTGAGTATAGATTTCTCTTTTTATTGAAATCTGGACTCATAAATATTTCGCACACACATTGATAAACTTGATAATAATTTTTCAAAGACGGTGCAGACCCGGCTTGATTAAGTTTGTTCGTGGATAAAAGTGGAAAGTGCCTGCTACCGTCCACGTCCTCTAGCACCGCATGAGATCGAAATATGTAATAATGACCATATGGCGGTGATCATGAAACCTTCAATGAGACATGTTCGTGTCATTCCAAGAAAATCGGCATATGTTCAAGAAGTAAAAAAAAATGTCCTTAACGAGAAAACAATGGGTGGGATTATATAAAATGGAATTTTTAAAGTGGATATACCGGAAAAGTCAACTGCATTTGGCATTATGCCAAGATGTATAACACATCAATAAAACGTCACTATGAGATCATCAATTTCACCTGGAACGATGCATCAGTTTCTTATGTCGTTGATATTTGATTTGTCGCCATATGTGATAAAGTTTTTATTCTATGTCAAATTGTCAAAACCATGCATTTTTGATATACTATGGAATTGTCAAAACATCAAACAAACATATTAAAAGGGTTGTTCATTTTTTTAATGTATCTGTAAGCGTGACCTCACTGTAATGTTTACGTTTACTCTCAATTAGAAACTTTTACAAAAAGGAGAAGATTCAGGTCAAAATGATAAGTGTTATCTTTTACATTTTCTATAATTTCTTTCCAGAATGTTCTCATTTAGGGAATCCAGAAAATGGGACGATACTTGGGAATGTTAACAAGATAGGTGCAGTATGGCGGCAGAACTGTAACACGGGGTATTATCTTGAGGCAGGTAGCAATATGCTTATATGTGACACTGACGGGCATTGGAACTCAACGAAATGTATTAGAGGTAATTTACTTGACCATCGATATTTCAAGATATTTCAATTTTCTTCTAAATAAATCTATGTCGTTAAATAAAGAAATATTACGTTTTTTGCTTGGACAGCATTTGCTCTTAAACATTTTCAACAGGGCTTTATTTGCAGCTAAACTATGTAACAATACTAAACTATCACAGTACATCATAATATGATGAAAAGTAACAAATAAATGCACAATAAGCACTTAATACCCCATGGGCAGAAAAAAATCAAACCGGGTCTGCAATTTCCATATACTATTAATTTTCTCATCGTTTCCAAGGTTTTTATTCTTTTCTAGATTTTAACATTTCAAACCAGTAGGTGACAGGTGCCGTGTGGCAGCTGTAAAAAGTAATGGTAAAAACACATTAAAGCAGTTGTGCAGATTGAATTATGTTTTGAAATGTCGCTTAAACCTGTGCTAGGGGACATGAGATAAGTTACATTTTAATATTATCTCTCAATAAAACAACTTAATTTAGTCGACTATGCATTCATTTTCCTTAAAATATTGCTGATCTCGATTGATTTTTTTTTTTCTGAGGGGTATTTGTTACTCTAGATTTTTATGTTAAATTCATTCAATTTGCTATATTTCTATATTGTATATAGCAAAAAATAGATATATAATAAAGTTTTCATTTATTTAAACAATTATATTTAATGCTTCAGATTGTGTACCATTGTCTAATTACACGGGACATCTTAGTATCACGAAACTTGGGTATCAATGTCAAAGATGGGAATTGAACACCCCACATCCACATGATTACCACTCCCCGGAATATTTTCCAGATGGATCCGAACAACAAGCTGAAAACTATTGCCGTTCTGCTGGCTTTAATTTTTTATGGTGTTATACAACCGATGCAGACCAAAGATGGGATACTTGCAACAATCCCGATGAAATATGTTAACAGTGTCTTAATTCGATAATCCTTTTAAAAACACGCTCGATGATTGCTTTTAACTATCCCTTCACTTCACAGTCAATGGAACGTTTTAACAGTGTTTGGATGTTTCTAAATTCAAAATTTCACCATTTCATGTTTAAATTAAGCCGGTGCTAGGGCCGTGGACGGTAGTTTGCACTTTACAGTACCGTCCATGAACAGGCTCAATCAAACCGAGCCTGCAAAATTTTCAATTATTTGTGTTGGACCTTTCTTTAGGGATTCTTATTTTCTCTATTTTATCACGCCTATTAAAATGCATTTAGCTTTTATATCCAGAACTGCATACTATTGGTCATGTGACTTTTATAACATTATAAATAAATTATATTAGAATGATCTTGTACTTATAGTTTATTATCATTTTAATTATAGTTTATATCCTCTTGTAGTTGAGTGTTTGTCTCTCAGAACTGCAGCCACATTTTATCCCTGCATGATTGTAACAGGTTACTAAATGGGTTCAAATGACTGGAGTCTATGAATCTTCTAGCTCCAACAAGTGAGATGGTTTTGACACCTGGTGTTGCTCTAAGTTTGTAACACGCGAGGTTTGATAATAAAATGTATTTCCTGATTCACCGTGTATATCCGGTAACGAAGGAATGTGCAAATAACGCAGGCATTGTGATAAAGTAACGCAGAATTGTGCAATTTTGTGGCTAAAAGGAGCACCGCGATATGTAAATGGACCAATATTTTCATTAAACACCAAACTGGAAGAAATGAGTTAGCGCATACGGTTCCTGAGACATTTCACTTTAAACCTCATCAAAATATTTCCATGAAAATGTTTATTAGATCATTCATCAAAATGACGACCTGACTACCGTATTGATGGCGTTTTTTAGTTTCGTTGATATGTTTAAATGTAATAACGTACATATAACTTTATGATATTTTATATTCGATGTACCTGAGACAATTTCCAATCTACTCGTTTCTATTGTTATACGACACTTGTGGTGTGACAAATGTCATGAGTATACATAATATGAAAAAGAAATAATGTTTTAAACGTGTTAAATGTATACATTTATTTGAAGAAACACAAAAAGTCACCTACAAAACGGTAATCAGGTTGTCTTTCTCAAGAATGATCTAAGAAAGTAAACAAATTCCTGAAAATAGATGTGATGCTAATTCATTTCTTTAAATTTGATTAAAAATAAAATATTTTGGTTCTAGAAACTTATTTTGTTATTCGTTTTGGCAATAGCGCTGCACAGATTCGGCGTTACTTTTACGTTAATTGCACATTCCTGCGTTACTGGATATTAACGGTGTGATTATCTTTGAACTATTCAGTGGACATTTTCAACAGTCTCGGTCTTGAAGGTATCTTTACTAGTGTTAGGCGTTTGACATATGGAAGTATATCAAAATTAATATAACAAATACAAAATTGAACCTTTCCAAATTATTAAGACTGGGAAAGCAGACTGGCCCTGTCAAAATAGTATAAAAGGAAAAATTTTTAAGAGACGCGGGTCTACGGTTTAATATAACGTTTAGTTTGAATCCAAAAAGAGGTGACCCGATGGTTTCGTGAGCAAGAAAACTTACTTCCATTGCTTAGTACTGGTCAACTGGAAACGGATTCGAGAGTGTGTCAATTAGCGTATACCTTCTAAAAGAATTGAACTAAAATAAATTAGCATAATTTATGTTAACTTTTATGAATGCTTTAATGTATTTTGATAATCAGAATGTTGCCAAATAGCAATGACATCGTTAAATCCAGAGAAGAAAATGGCATCAGATTATTGAAACAAAGTGTTTTACGGAGTTTTTAATACAAGTATCAATTTACATTTAAACGAAACTTTAGTGGTGTAAGGGCTGTGAGTGATGTAGCACTTTCCATTTTTTGCATGAATAGAATAGTAAATCCGAGTTGCATTACTCTAAAGGGATCTCCTTTTTCATGAGCTTTTGTACTGTAAAGCAGTTGTGTTATATATACTATTATAACAATCTATTGCTTCATAAAAAAGTAAACTAAATTTGTGAGTCCAAATGACTGTTGCGCAAAGTATTGAGACAATCAAATCACTGATAACACATTTAAAGCAAATTATAGCTTAGAAAAAAACGACTGCTAAATCGAGGTTATTCATAAGTAAATGTCAAATTTGATTTGATTTTCTTTAAGACATCGTGCTCAACGTACTTGTGTTGAAAAATAAAAAGAGTCCATTCATTACAACGTTATAGTAAATACAATCAAGGGCGTATCCGTAACGAAATCAGACAAATCGTATGTCAACGGTTTGCCAAAGAAAACTGAGAATTATTTACGAAACTTCATCCACATTACAAACAGGGTGAACAAATCGTTACTCCAAGAACGACTATGCCAGACGGACTTCTCAAGGCCATTTTTTCAAACACTTGAATCTTGATTCTATTTCCCTTGGGTTATAACTCAAATAGAGTAAAATACTGCTGTCAAGATATATTTCTTATCTAAATGTTATTACCTATCCGCAATATAATCACACAAAGTATGATTTAACTGTTGGCATAAGTGATTGGTGTTTTTTAAGGAAAACTTCATACATTTTATATAAAGAACAAATCGATTTTATCACGCGCGTGACGCCACTTTCCTTGAATTTAAGCTTTGTGCTTTATATTGATGTAAAGTACATCTTGCAGACCAATGTAATTGATTATCTGCAATGGAATCACACAAGTGGTGTTTAAACGCTTGGTTTCAGACCTGAAAATAAAATGAAATATTTCATGCACAATCATAACTCTTTATAAACAGGAAGATAAATCGAAGGAAAACAATTATGACACGCGGGCTTCTCGTCGAGATTTTCCTTGAATTATGGTTTTGGATCTTATATTGCTGTGTGGTAAAATCTTCAGACTAATGCCTCAGTCACAAATAACAAATGGCCGCTGGGTGGCGTCACAATAAAAACATCACAATACCGGCGGCAGAGACAATCAGACGACAGCAGCTGAAAATCCTGCTCATCGGGAGGGCGCTGTTGCGTTTTAAGTGCAACTTGAAAGCTAACGTCGTCCGAACGGTTATTTTTGGTGTCAGTGAGTTAAAAAAAAGTTTTTACATCGGACGATTGTTTTTCATACAAAATCAACGTGCGCTTTTAAAGGCATCCATGGGCCCGAAAGGACACAAGTTGGCGAACGATTATCACCTCGCTCTCGAAGATTCATTCACTTGCATCGGGCGGTCATCGATTCGTCGTCCTGCCTGCAACTGGGCGGCTTGAGTCTGTTGTGGCCAAAATCGCCAAGTGCTGAATTGCATTTCTGTTTGATTTATATAGTCACGATCAACCTGAAAAAGAAATGCCTTAAGTTTCCTCTTAATGTTCGTCTTCTGTCTTGCTTCGTCGGGCCCTTGTAGGTGATCTTCTTGTTGCTCTGTGTTCCTTTAAGACATTGAGTACTTTTGTTATGGTCATTTGGTTTTCTTTTGTATGTTTCTACATGAGCATTTCGATGTTTTACTTATTTCACCTTTTGTAACCATGAAAACTGTTAAAATTTCACTTGGCAAGGACTCACTTTATTAGTCCCCTACCGGTTTACCGGAGGGGACTTTAGGTTTACCCTCCGTCCGTCTGTCCGTCCGTCCGTCTGTCCGTCCGTCAGTCCGTCCGTCCACAAAACTGGATCCCGCGATTACGCAAAAAGTACTGAAAATATTTTAATGAAACTTGATATATGGATAGATGGCAGTATGGAGATTATGCACGCCTTTTTCTTTTCTTCCTATGTTGAAAATTCTGGTTGCTATGGCAACAAATAGACTAAAAATATGGCAAATTTTACACATAACCTGGATCCCGCGATAACGCAAAAAGTACTGAAAATATTTTTATGAAACCTGATATATGGATAGATGGCAGTATGGAGATTATGCACGTCTTTTTCTTTTCTTCCTATGTTGAAAATTCTGGTTGCTATGGCAACAAATAGACTGAAAATATGGCAAATTTTACACATAACCTGGATCCAGTGATAACGCAAAAAGAACTGAAAATATATTTATGAAACTTGACATATGGGTAGATGGCAGTATGGAAATTATGCACATCACTTTTTTATCTTCCTATGTTGAAAATTCTGGTTGCTATGGCAACAAATAAACTGAATTTCAAGATTTCTTATTCTAGTTTTTAAGTTTTTTCACTATAAGTTCTTTATTTCTTAAGGTATTTTCTTCAAACTTTAAATATAAGTTGCTTGTCATCAACCACATCATATGTGACAAGGTTTACAACTCTAGCACAAAATTTATCAGAATTACCTCCCACTTACTTCAAACTTCATATAAATGTTTCTTATTATCACTCAACATTTGTGAGTGTTCAATACTCTAGCAAGACTATTTCCAGAATTATGCCCCTTTTGAACTTTTATTTGAGAAATTGGTAATTTTTACTCCAACTTCTTCAATCATGATAGGATTTTTAAAATGTTATATTTTGATAACAGGGATGTTTAGAAAATAACTTTAGAGTGTCCTTCAGTCCGTCTGCCTGTCTGTACATAAAAACTGTTTCCTGTGATCACTTTTAAAGAACTTTTTCAACAAATTTACTTAAAATAGGAACATAAGTGAATAGCCAATGGCCCTTCGGAATGTTGCTTGGGCTCTTACCGGTAGGGGACTTATGGATTGCTTGCAATACTATGATAATTGCTTGTTTACACTGTCTCGTTTTATAAGAACATGGTGGGGCTAAGAGTGAGGTTTGGTGCACCATTAACCGGTTTGAACTCCCCAGCAGTATGTATGCTGCTGACCGTTCCAAGGTGGCGCCCCTCTGTGTTCCTCAGATGTATGGCTTTGTTGTTTCATACTGTTTTGGTGACACTTTTGTGTACCTTGTTGTTTTCTCGTCTACGGTATGTATCTTCCCCTTTGCCCCTGGTTTTTATTTATTTTATTTATCCCCCCTTACCCGGGTCTCATGTCCCCTTCCCCCTTTGACTTTATGGGCCTATTATTCAATCATTTATTTGTTTTCTTTTAGTTCCTTTTCAGTTACTAATTATGTATTCTTATATATGATTTTAGTGGTTAGTCTGCCCATGATCTGCCTTGTGCCCTGTCCTGTTTTTGTTTGGGGTCCTCCTGAGCTCCTTGCCACTGGCTCTTGTTACTGGGTCGGATGGGGGTTGCGTTCATTGAACGCCGCCTTTCCTTGTTGATCTTGTTTATCATATTTCATGGTCAGCATCACTGACCATTTTCGTAGCCTTCCTTTGTC